GTCGCCCTTCTTCGCGGTCCGGGATTTCTTAGGTAAGGCTGGGGTCGCGCGCAATGCTGCGCGAGGGATGCACATGTGCTGTGCTGTAGGTACGACGTGCGCGACATGCGACTTTGCTTACGACGTGGTGGGTGGCATGAAGCTGATCTGGAGGGAGCAGCAGGGGCGTGCTGCGGCGATAGAAGTTTGTCGCCCAGGGTCCGTGACGTGGTTCTCCTCTCGATTGTCGGTTCGTATGCGAATTGGTCGACCTAGACACACAGCCAGCATGAAAAAGTCGAGACCTCTTGGGCTGACGGATGTTCCAGACCACATGGCGAGAACCACGGGCAATGGCGCGGCGCGCCCCCCCGTACCGTCCGGCAACAGTCCCCCGACGAGGGTCCTCCCGCTTGGCGGAGGCACAATCAGTGGACAGGGGGGGTGCGGCGTCCGGGGTGGGAGGACGGTTATGGTGAATTTCCGGTCCAAGGTGCAGAACGGACGGTGGAAATCGAGGCGGGATTCAGAGCATATGCATCTCGACCTTCACCGAAGGGCTGGCGAGCTCAGGAAGGTCAAGGGACGTGCATTGCGCGATGCGTGCTCGTCTCCTGCCATGGCGGACGGCCGATGCTGGCAATCTTGAAATATTCTCCGACGTGCGTCTGTCACCTGAAGGCATGGCGGCCGTGTTGGATGCCAAGTGGCCAAAGTCCCCCCCTTGCTCTGCCATGCCTCGCGCGAGGGTGGAAGAGGCGCTTCCGCCATCCAAGAGAGAACAGTGGCTCATGGCATGGTCAAGCGAGCACGCCAAACGGCAGAAGCGAGCAAGATATGGCGTTCGCGTGGCGTGCGGCGACATGTCGACTTTTTTGGGAGTTGCTTGCAGATGAAGATGAACAGCATGATGGGTGATGGTTCGAAGTTTTCCTCAGAGAGAGAGAGGCATATCTCCTAGCAAAGTTGCCCTCCGACCATCGGCGGCAGCAGGTTGTCAAGGGGGCTGTCACATCCTCATTCACATCCATCACAATCCCGTCACATCACATCATGCGAGCGGGAAGGGGGCAAAGGCGCTACAGCTTGAAGGCTACGGCCGCATCGAACCGTCTCCTGTCTTCCCACCGCCCCTGGTCATCATCGCCAGCATGCCGTCTCGCCGTCGCCTCGCTCCCCGGCCGCACATATCCCCTCTGATTCGCAACGACGCGAATCCCATCCCCCATCACAAAAGTCAGTCGAGAAGTGTGTGCGCGCGTGTGTATGGGCCCAAACCCCAACGCCTTACTTCTGGCCTGTTGGTGAGCGAGTGAGGCAGGCCGGGGTTTGCAAAGCTGCACACAGTTGGATGAGCCATCGATCGGTGGTGATGAGGTGGAGGGTGGTGGTCCGGCGTAGAGGTTGCCTCGGGGAGGGAAGATGGTGCCATGCGGAGATGAGGAGATTGACAAGCCAGACTGTCTACGTCGTCTGGGTCTGTCGTTTTCTCAACGGAATGAATACGGCGGCAGGTTCGTTTTCACGGCCAGGTGAACGAGAAGGCGTTCTTCTTCTGACCGTCTGCTTGTTCTATCTGGCTGTCCTGACGGCCGATCAAGTGTGAACCGCAAAGCCAGCCCATTGTCTGGTCCGACGAAACGGGGTCCAAGGCAGTTCTCCAAGACGATAGACAGAACCCAGGAACCCGTCATAGATCGGCAACTACAATATGTATTCATCTATCTTAATCTGCACCCCAGATCCGGCGGGACGACTTGGGACGAAAGATGTAGATGAAGCAACCCTTTGAGCCGAGCGTCCCACGAAATACTACCAGAATAAAATAAAATATTCATTCGTCTCGTTGGAAAATGACCAAATATTTCTGAATATTTTAATATTCTGCCCCCCCCTGCCCCGAGTTGAATAAAACCACCAGATAATCACAAGTCCCGCAGCTCAACCTTTCACACCAACTCCAAGCCCGCATGACACTTTCCCCAGACCCCAGACTTCACCACCGCCAAGCCCCAAGCGGCCGGTACTCGCCAGCGGCCGACGCCGGCAGCCTAGGAGCCAGATGGGCTGCAACAAAGACGAAGGGCAGAGGCGGGAAAAGCTTGTAGATTCGCTTCTTCGTAAGCGAGGCCGCCTCGATCGGCTTTGGCGGGCCAGGCTAAAGGCCCGGGTAAAGACGCGAACCGTCTGGAGAGATCCGTGGCGCATCGGCCGCGTCCCGCCTTGCCGCCGTGAAGAAGGCGAGGTGAGGGGCCATGTGAGCAGGATCTCCCCCCTCCCTCCTCTTCCTGTTCAGTATTTGGCGGTTTCTAGCTCATGGTCTTGCCGCCCCTGGTCCGACTTTCTTACCTTGTGGGAGAGATACAATAAGCAGAGCAGACCGGGAGGATGCGTGAAGGAGGGCAGACTGTCGTGTTTGCTCATCTCCAGAAGGGTAAAAGGCGAGTAGGTTCAGTCACCGGTACCCCGAGACAGATGACAGGCGGATATGTCTCATCTCGCGCTCCAACCTTCACCGAGGAGGCGCATGTATTCCATGGTTGTCTGCTGGATTCGTGGACAAACCGCGCACCAACGCCTCATCCCACGTCGCCGGTCCGCCTACCGGAGGCGGTGAACGCCATGTCATTGCTCGGCCGCCGTGCGCTGGAAACCCTGAATGCCCGGAACACTCCTCCTCCTCATCAAGGGAAAAACTTCTCACTTCTGCTTGTTCTGCTGGGGACGCCAAATGGGAAGGGGGTGGGAAAACTTGGCCAGCGCCGTCATCCTGCCCTGCTATTCATCGCCATATCGCCACCCTCATCTGCGCCCACCGGAAAGCCAAGATGCAAACAAGGGTCGGAAGGAGATCAGAGTCCAGAACTGGCTCCTGCATCTACTCCCCGCTTTCTCTCTCTCTCCCTCTCCCTCTCCGCAAGCCCCACAAAGTCCCTGAAGCAAATACAAAGAGAAAACTGTCGACCGACGATCCGGGGAAAAGAGGGTCCATCAACCATCAGCCCTTGGGAGCCTGCGCAAGGGGGGGGGCGCGATGCTGGGGTTTGGAGGAGGCAGCAGAAATGCAGCCGGGCGGAGGATCTTCCCAATTTGCGCGATTTCGAAATCCATGCGCGGCCGCCAAAACAGTGCCACGCCGAAGTCGCGACGCCCACGTGAGGAGCCATCAGCCATGCCACGCGCGGCGGCCGCCTTGCAAATCTCTCCCACTCGTCAGTGTCCGCCGAAATGAGGCCTCTCGGCCGGAGAACCGCCATTCGCTCGCACCTCCCATCTCCTGCCAGCCAACCAAACCACCCCAAATGATCCCTGGTCCAGTCACAAGCTCGATGGTGTTGAGTGGGCGAACCGCCTCCCTCGATGTACCGCCTGAAGCGAATATGCGCCAACGGCACTCGCGACGTGCGAGTGCTGCAGCCCTCGCTTGCCCCCAACCACGAGCATGTCAACCACGGTCAAACCACCCTGTCCGGGCTTTCCATCCTTCTCTACGTGATCCTTTGCGACGACTGTGCCGCGGGCGGGAGGCCTTCCCCGGGCGGGCAGGATCGACGACGCAGGCACCTCAATGTCTGCTGACTGCACAGGCCCCTGCTTTTGAAGCTCACCGGTCACCTTGCGCCGCCGCCTGTTGGCAACAGAGGCCACGTCTTGACATGGGGGGGGGTTTTCCGTCTCGTGTTCTTCGTCGGCCTCTTGGTACGGGGTCTTATATCGCGCAGTCTTTCGGTCGGACCCCGGAGCGCAGCGGCGTAATGCGTTGCAAATGGAGACGGAGAGGGAGCGAAGTGCTCAACGCGTGGCCTCCCTGGTCCCAGAGGCAGTGGCGGACACGATTTGCACGAGGTGTTATAGCTCCCATAGTGTTAATATATCATTTCCTCCGAGTAGCGTTTTAGGGGTCTGAGACCGTACCTGGCGCTTGGAGACAGGTCATCGAAAAGGTGGAGGTAGCATTTCTGGGGTACGTGTCTTGCCTTGGCCGGAAGCGAGGGCCGCAACGGGGCGTCACTTGATCATGTCCCTCTTTGGTAGTTCGCAAGGTTCAGATGGGCCTCGTGACTTCCGAATCGGGAAACTGGGAGGACGCTGCTTGTTTGATGCTCGCGTCCTCAAGGCCAGGGCTTCTGTTGTAACTCAAGATCAAGGCGCGGTACCTATGCTCCCGATCGTCGTTGAGTAGCATTTCGGCTGGGAGGCTTGACAGGCCCAAGGGAGGGGGAGCAGTGCGCTCATGACGAAGGTCGTGTGGCTCACGTGTGACGACATGGCTGTCGCAGGGACAAGTCCTCCGGGCACTAACAAGGAGAATCTCGATCGGTGAGATCGGTGTGGGCAAGGAGCATCACTTCCGCTCGTTGATCCGGATCATCATGATGCTTTCGGATGACAAGTCAGTATTCAGAGGCTCGAAAAAATTGACCGCTCGTAAAAGGTTGCGCGCATCTGACCTTGCTGATCACTGCGTGCTTCAAGAACTTCCTTCGCTGGCTGATGATCGACCGTCTCAGCAACAATTCGTGTGCAGTCCCCAGTGTCAGCACAACTTCAAGATCTCGATGCGTAGAAAGATTGACCACCAACCAGACAAGACTATTTGGTACACACGCGGCCTGCGCTCAAGAAGAGGAGGGCTTGCCGTGATCGTTTCCACCCAGCGTGGGTGGATTCGAATGATGGTATTGCCACTGCTTGCTGACCATAACACCCACCATCTCGACAGTAGATCATTGCTGTCGACCGAGTGTGGCAGGACCATCCTGAGGGACACCTCAGATACGCAGCCTATCAATCCAATCCTGTGGTTCGCCTTTTGAGCACTCTGAGCTAAGAGGTTAGAAGTCAGTATTCGAGAGGCACCACTGTGTAAGGGAAACTGATATTAAGATAAAATTATTGTTGGAATCATGGTTGGTCTCAGCAAGCGAGAATAATATAAACACGGCCTCTTACATCCATTCATGAAAATCGTAGGCTTCGCCATGCCGAGGTGATCAAGACAATTATCCCATGTTACCGGCTCATCTTTCCACAGCAGATTCAGTGTCATCTCGAGCCATGACTCGACGCACCCACTGTATTTCGTCCCAGTCAGTGCTTCGTATGCTGAAAATTTTGATCCGCCAGCCGAGATCTAGAGCGTGATCAGTGTCCAACACGCAGATGCATCGACAGAGTTTATCGTGTTGTCCCACAAGTTCCATCGCTTGCTTGTCCAGAAGACTGCCCAGCTTCCAATCTTTGAGCTTCCCATGAGGGTGAGGGGAGCGATCAGTGAAGAGGTCTTTGAACCGAAAGTGCTGCTCTCGGGCTTGCGATGAGCGGTTGGAGCAGGTGGCCCTTGCGAAGAACTCAAAGATGGCCTGCTGATGGTCTCGACGGCACTGGGCATTGTAGTTCATAAGTTCTCCAACCCGAAAACATGTTCTCAACTGGAGCGATGAGGACAATCCGACAATATCAGAACGATCGAGGACCTTTCCGGGCAAGGGAGGGCGGACGAATGGCGCGACATGTGACGGCCCTGTTTGCGAAGTTGCAGTGTCAGATGAAAGATTTGTTTTCAGAGTCAAATCGGAGTCACTGATGTCACGATGAGGGTTGCTTGTAGAGAGCTGTTCGATCTTGGTATCATCGGCAACTGTCGAGACATAGTTCCAGTCCAAGTCGTCGTCTAAGAGATCCACCTCTGAATGGAGTCCACGAGGATCAGAGCCGTAAGTTGGAACGTCATGCGGAGGCATCTGAGGAGCCTTGTCAAAGCCAACGTCGTCCTGAGAATCACCATTCGTGACCTGAGCCGTGTTTGCAGAAGGCATTCGCATGATAGGTTTGGGTGTTTTAGGGAGGAGGTTCGCAAGCGCTTCTTCGTCCGAGCTGTCGAGCATGTAATCGTCAACATCCAGGAAGCAGGCTTTCTGGGTACAGACCTCGGTTTCCCTCATCACCTCTGGGGACTGGCTCGAGCCAGAAGTCTCGCTTTGAATAATATTTGGCATTCCATCGGACGGGGTCAAAGCCAAGGTCACCAAAGAGCTCATATTGACATCGTGGCTTGACCTGTGACTCGAACACAGCGAGATATGATCGAGTTGTGTGGGTGTTAAGTCAATATACTTACGCATCCAATCGTCATCAAAGTAATCAGAGCCGTCCTCTTCGAGAAGGGGGCTATTAGGTATACTCCAAGGAGTCGAACTTTTGGTCTGGATTGCATTGCCCGTTTCAATATCGATGGTGTTCGCCATATATAAAGGGGCAAGCGTAAGATCAGGATTGCGGAGGGTCTCGCCTTCGAAGGCCAGGCGTGAAGGGACGAAGGTGGCCTCATCATGAGAGAGAGCAGGTATTTGAAAATCCATAGGCGTCTTGGGTCCTTCAGCCATGGAGCAGTCTGCAGAAGGCAACAAGCCGAGAACATGGCTAGTTGTTCTCTTGCTGATGCCGAACGCCAACGTGTCGTCCTGGTCATCTCGGGGTCGTTTACGAGAAGAAGTTTTGTCCGCCATTTCACCTTTCTTCGCGTCTCGGTTGGGTAATTCGGTGGACATTGCGTTGACCATCTTGTTCCCTTTCAGGTCGTCGTGGGATATGCAGCATCTTGGCGATGTCGGTGACTCAACGTCGCTATGTTCATCATTGGCATTCGAAGGAGGTCCTCCCACAGAAGCGTCGCTTGCTCTGATGACAGATTAGTTTCAGGGATTCTGAATTCTTTTAGGTGACGAACCTGGCCATGGTAGATATTGCCATAGTCATCCATGGAAAGCAAATTATAGGTCTGACCGAATACTCGTGTGGTGCCCTGGCTGTGGCTAACTTCACATGAGAGACACAAAGACGGAACCCTGGAGGTTCAGGGCGCCGGA